CCTTCCCTTCCCTTCCCTTCCCTTCCCTTCCCTTCCCTTCCCGCACCTTCCCGCACCTTCCCGCACCTTCCCGCACCTTCCCGCACCTTCCCTTCCCACACCTTCCCTTCCCGCACCTTCCCGCACCTTCCCTTCCGTTCACGCTGGTTTTGGGAACCACAAACCATGACCTGGGAATGCTGCTGGTTTTTCCTTCCTCCCGGTGCTGGGACACCTGGGATTTGGGATCTTTCCCATGGAACAGAGCCCTCGGGAAAGGCAGCTCGGAGATCCAGACCTGAAGTTCAGGACTTGGGGGGGCTGAGCCTTTGGATGTGTCCATCATTCCTTGGGATGCAGCCGTGTCCTGGACCTTTTGGGAAGTTCCGTCTGCCCCTCTGGATGCTTTTTCTCGTTTGTTGGAGCCTCTTTTGTCAGGAAAATGACATTTTCTGTGGGGCGTGTTTGTCACCCTGACCGTGACAGCCCCCGAGCAGCCAGGGACGGGATCAAGGACAAGTTTGGAATTTAAAGTCGGGGTTGTTCTGTTTTCTCCCTGCAAATCCATTCCCTCCTTCCCACGGCTGCTGTGCATCCAGAGCAGGGGGAGGTCACACCTTCCTCCACAGGGGAGGAATTCCGGGGTCAGCCCGGAGCCCTCCGGCTGCTCTGGGACCCTCTGGTTGGGATCTTCGTTCCTACATCAGCATGGAATGGGGCCCTGGAGCTGCTCCAGGGCTGGAGCCAGGCTGGGAGAGCTGGGAATGTTCCCCTGGAGAAGGGCAAAATGCAGGGAATGCTGAGAGTCCCTGCAGGGGCTCCAGGAGAGCTGGAGAGGGACTGGGGCCAAGGGCTGCAGGGACAGGAGCCAGGGAATGGCTTCCACTGGGAAAGGGGAGATTGGGCTGGGATCTTGGCAAGGAATTCCTGCCTGGGCTGCAATTCCCAGATTTCCCGTAGCTGCCCCTGGATCCCTGGCAATGCCCAAGGTCAGGCTGGACACTGGGATTGGAGCCACCTTTGACAGTGTCCCAGGAGTGTCTCTGCCATGGCAGGGTGGCACTGGATGGGATTTAGGATCCATTCCCGCCCAAGCCATTCCATGATTCCGTGGTTCTGGCCAATCTCAGGCAGGTGGATCTCGTCCCTGGGCGTGGTGGCTCTCTGGTGACCCCACAGGAGGGGCTGTCCCCAGCCGGTCCCGGGGTCAGGGTGGCCAGTGGCCACTGTCCGTGGTGATGAGGAGCAGTGGGGGAGGGGCAGCAGCCGCGGGATCCCCGGGTGCACCTGGCCAGGTGTCCTGGAGGAGATCCCAGGAGCAGATCCCAGGGAGGAGATCCCATGGAGGAGATCCCATGGAGGAAACCCCAGGAAGGAGATTCCATGGAGGAGATCCCATGGAGGAGACCCCATGGAGCAGATTCCATGGGGCAGATCCCATAGAGGAGATCCCAGGAGGAGATCCCATGGAGGAGATCCCATGGGGCAGATCCCATGGATCAGATCCCAGGGAGCAGATCCCATGGGGCAGATCCCATAGAGGAGATCCAATGGAGCAGATCCCATGGGGCAGATCCCATGGAGCGGATCCCATGGAGAAGATCCATGGAACTGATCCCATGGAGGAGCCCCCCTGGTCCCTTTTCCCAGCAGCGCCGCAGGGAAACGGGAGCGATTTGTTCCTGATCAGCTTTGAGTTCCCCGTGTTCCTTCCTTGGAGAATCAGGGAATTTTCTGCATGGAAAGGGATCCACAGGGATCATCCGTCCATCCAACCCCCCTTTCCCTGTCCAGACACCCCAACAACCCCCCCGGGCATCCCTGGCAGCGCTGTCCCAGCGCTCCTGGAGCTCCGGCAGAGTTGGGAATGTGCCCATTCCCTGGGGAGCCTGGGCAGTGCCAGCACCTCTGGATCAGGAACCTTTCCCTGAATCCTGAGCCTGCCCTGGAGCAGCTCCAGCATTCCCTGGGTCACGAGAGTGAATCCTCCTGGGAATTTCTCCTTTTTGGAAATTAATTAATTAATTAATTAATTAATCCAAAAAAAGTGGAACTGGAGCCATTCCAGCTTTGGGCTCCACGCGACAAGAGAGCCCTGGAGGGGCTGGAATGTGCCCAGGGAAGGGAACGGGGCTGTGAATAGAGCTGGAGAATCCCTGAGGGAGCTGGGAAGGGGCTGGAGAATCCCTGAGGGAGCTGGGAAGGGGCTGGAGAATTCCTGAGGGAGCTGGGAAGGGGCTGGAGAATTCCTGAGGGAGCTGGGAAGGGGCTGGAGAATTCCTGAGGGAGCTGGGAAAGGGGCTCAGGCTGGAGCAAAGGAGGCTCAGGGGGGAAATCTGAGCTCTCCCTGGAGCTGGGAGTGTTCCCTTCTCCAGGGGAACATTCCCAGCTCTCCCAGCCTGGCTCCAGCCCTGGGAGCAGCTCCTGGATGTCCCCTGGGCTCTCTCCAGCAGCTCCAGATCCCTTTCCTGAGGACTCCAAAGCTGGATTGGAGCGGAGCCATTGCTGGTGGCAGCAGAGGAGTTTTAGGGACAATTCCTGGAATGTTGTTGGTGTCACCCCTGCTCCGTGCCCTGTCCTGGAGCCTCTGCAGTGTCCTGGTCCGTGTCCCTCTGCCCAGCTGATCCACAGATTCCAATCAGTGGGACTCTGGGATGGTTCCCAAATCCCTGGATTTGGGTTCTCTGGAATTCCTGGTGCTCCAGTCTGGAGGGTTTGCACCCTCACTGAGGGGCAGAACCTGTGCTCGTGTCCTGCTTTTACACCAAAAGCCACCAAGGACCCTCAAATCCCAAATTAACCCCGAAATCCCAAATTAACCCTGAAATCCCTAATTAACCCTGAAATCCCAAATTAACCCTCCTATCCCATATTAACCCTCGTATCCCAAATTAACCCTTGTATCCCAAATTAAACCTCGTATCCCAAATTAATCCTTGTATCCCAAAATCACCCTCCTATCCCATATTAACCCTTGTATCACAAAATCACCCTGGTATCCCGAATTTATCCCAAATTAACCCTCCTATCCCAAATTAACTCTCGTATCCCAAATTAATCCTCGTATCCCAAAATCACCCTCATATCCCTAATTTATCCCAAATTAACCCTCGTATCCCAAATTGACTCTGAAATCCCAAATAAATCCTTGTCTCCCAAAAAATCTCCCTCGTATCCCAAATTAACCCTGAAATCCCTAATTAATCCTGAAATGCCAAATTAACTCTCATATCCCAAAATCACCCTCCTATCCGAAATTAATCCTTAATTAACCCTCGTATCCCAAATTAACCCTGAAATCCCTAATTAACCCTGAAATCCCTAATTAACCCTCATATCCCAAAATCACCCTCCTATCCCAAATTAATCCTTGTCTCCCAAAATTGCCCTCATATCCCAAATTAACCCTCAAATCCCAAATTAACTCTCGTATCCCAAATTAATCATCATATCCCAAAATCACCCTCGTATCCCGAATTTATCCCAAATTAACCTTGAAATCCCAAATTAATCCTTGTCTCCCAAAATCTCCCTCATATCCCAAATTAACCCTGAAATCCCTAATTAACCCTCAAATCCCAAATTAACTCTCGTATCCCAAATTAATCATCATATCCCAAAATCACCCTCGTATCCCGAATTTATCCCAAATTAACCTTGAAATCCCAAATTAATCCTTGTCTCCCAAAATCGCCCTCATATCCCAAATTAACTCTGGTATCCCAAATTAACCCTCGTATCCCAAATTAATCCCAAATTAACTCTCGTATCCCAAATTAATCCCAAATTAACTCTCGTATCCCAAATTAATCCTCGTATCCCAAATTAACCCTTGTATCCCAAATTTATCCCAAATTAACTCTGGTATCCCAAATTAACCCTCGTATCCCAAATTAATCCCAAATTAACTCTCGTATCCCAAATTAATCCCAAATTAACTCTCGTATCCCAAATTAATC